TTGGGGCTGCTGGAAAGGAGGTCCAACTGAAAGCAACTAGTTCTTTCTCTGCTTTGGGGCCAGAGCAGAGACAAAAGGGGATTATCTTTGTGAATTGCAGGTTTTCTTTGCCTGGAGACAGAGTAGTTAATCTCCTGCAGGGAAATGCACAGTCTTCGAAAACCTGAGGTTTTTTCCCCCCTAAAACTAAATGGGAGGGGGGGGGGGTGTTCCACCCATTTGCCTGGAGACAAAAGTGGCAGGGGTTTTTTTTTTTTAGGATTTTGATTTTTTTTTTCGAAGGAGCACAGATTTGAACACGAAATTTTTTTTCCTTTGGGGCTGCTGATAAGCAGGTTTCTAAGTAGTTGGAGGTTTTTTGCTTTGATTTGGGGCCAGAGCAGAGACAAAGGGAATTGTCTTTTTCTGTAGGCTGACAATCACTATCAGAGAATAGGTATCCTATTCCAGCACAGCAAAATTTTACAGCCAAGTTTTGTTTGCTTATTTCCAAACCTCCGGTGAAAAGTTGGTTAAAAACAGAGAGGTTAGGATGACAGAATCCACGGCTCAACAAAAGCTGGAATTAGCCAGATTTCAGGCTGAGGAAAAACAAAAGGAACATGAAAGACAGATAGAACTCATGCGGCTGGAGAAGGAGGTACAGGAGGCTGCCCACAGGAGGGAAATGGAGGCAAGGAAGCATGTGGAGGAGGAGAAGGAAAAAGAGAGGAAGCATGAACTGGAGATGGAGCAAGTAAAGACTCAGCAGAATATACCAACAAACCCTAGCAATCCTTCTCCAGGTAGCACTTCCCATCCCAGAAAGTTCCCCACCTACAAGGCAGGCGATGATACCGAGGCCTTCTTAGAAAAGTTCAAAAGGGCCTGCCTTGGGTACAGCATCCCTACAGACCAATACATGGTAGAGCTGAGGCCGCAGCTCAGTGGACAATTAGCTGAGGTGGCGGCTGAAATGCCTAAAGCACACATGAACGAGTATGAACTGTTTAAATCCAAGGCGAGAGTCAGAATGGGGATAACACCCAAGCATTCTCGTCGGAGATTCAGAGCCCTAAGGTGGAAACCAGACGTGTCATTTACCCGACATGCCTACCACATTGTGAATCACTGGGATGCCTGGATATCAGCAGCAAGTGTTGAATCTCCAGTAAATTTGCCCTTCCTACTGCAAATGGAACAATTCTTAGAGGGTGTTCCTGAGGAAATAGAAAGATATATCCTAGAAGGGAAGCCCAAAACTGTAATCGAGGCAGGAGAGATCGGAGCCAGATGGGTGCAGGTGGCAGAGAAGAAGAAAACTGGTCGCAGTTGGAGTGGAGACCAGAAGGGACAACCCCAGACCACACCCTCTTACCTAGGGTCACCCAAAGCCCCACCTACCTCCCAAAGAACCCTCCAGACAACTTATCGTCCCACCACCCCGTTGTGCAGGGCCGCCCCTCTATCCATCCCGACACACCTGTGAGGAAGTGGAAGCGTTCTTAATGTTTCCTCTGAATAGTGTGGGGGTGCCTCAGTTTCTCCTAGGCAGTTCTTAAGTATCTAGGTGGTGGGATAAGGGTGTATGATCCTTGCAGAGCCCGAGAGGGCAGGTGTGTGCAAGGGTCTGGACACAGAGAATGGCCGACACCCTGTTTCCTGGCCACTGATGGCCTGGGCCCTTCCCCCCTGCAAGGTGAGAGCTAAAGGGTTGGAGAACAAAGGAATCAGGTGATCTCCTGGCCCGGGAAAGGGGAAAGCCCAGAGGAGGTGGGGCTGGAGGGAGTTTCAGTTTGGGGCTGGCTGGGGAGTGGAGTGAAGTGCAGACGGGGTTGTCTGGCTCACTGCCCCCCAAAATGGACCTGGCTGAGGGGTCCTGTTCTCTGCACCCACAAGCTCTGTTTTAGAGCATGTTCCTGTTGTCTAATAAACCTCTGTTTTACTGGCTGGCTGATCGTCCCGTCTGACTGTGGAGTTGGGGGGCAGGACCCTCTGGCTTCCCCAGGAACCTGCCTGGGTGGACTCGCTGTGGGAAGCGCTTGGAATGGCAAAGGAGGCTGAATGCTCCGAGATCAGACCCAGGAAGGTGGAAGCCGGGTGAGCTGTGTGTCCTGCAGACAGGCTGCTCCCAGAGAGGAGACTTCCCCAGAGTCCTGCCTGGCTTCGTAGGGAGCAGCTCCAGAGCATCGCCCGGGGACTCCCTGACAACACCCATCCTTCTGTCCGTCCATCCTCCTACACGTCCACCCTTCCCACCCCACACCCATCCATCCATTCCCCTAAGAGACTGTCTGTCCATCCATCCATCCGCCTTCACGCCTGTCCATCCATCTCCCTACACACCTGCCAAGGTTCCTTCCCCACTCTGAACTCTAGGGTACAGATGTGGGGACCTGCATGAAAACCTCCTAAGCTTACTTTTACCAGCTTAGGTGAAAACTTCCCCAAGGTACAAATTAATTTTGTCCTTTGCCCCTAGATTTCTACTGCCACCACCAAACTTTAACTGAGTTAACTGGGAAACATAGTTTGGACACGTCTTTCCCCCCAAAATCCTCCCAACTCTTGCACCCCACTTCCTGGGGAAGGTTTGGTAAAAATCCTCAACAATTTGCATAGGTGACCACAGACCCAAACCCTTGGATCTTAGAACAATGAAAAAGCATTGAGTTTCCTTACAAGAAGACTTTTAATAGAAGTAGAAAAGAATCACCTCTGTAAAATCAGGATGGCAAATACCTTACAGGGGAATTAGATTCAAAAGAGAGAGAATCCCTCTTGGCAAAACCTTAAGTTACAAAAAGACACACAGACAGGAATATCCATTCTATGCAGCACAGCTATTTTCTCAGCCATGTAAAGAATCATAATCTAACACACACCTAGCTAGATTACTTACTAAATTCTAAGAGTCCATTCCTGGTCTGTCTCCACCAAAAGCATCACACAGACAAACACAAACCCTTTGTTTTTCTCCCTCCTCCCAGGTTTTGAAAGCATCTTATCTCCTCATTGGTCATTTTGGGTAGGTGCCAGCGAGGTTACCTTTAGCTTCTTAACCCTTTACAGGTGAGAGGATTTTTCCTCTGGACAGGAGGGATTATAAAGGGGTTTACACTTTCCTTTATATTTATGAGAACAGGTGAAAGTGTTTTGCCACTGGCCATGAGGGATTTTAGAGCACCAGGGACAGAAAGGTGGTTCCCCTTCCCTTTATATTTATGACAGGTCCTTTCTTATGTTCTTCTAAAAATATATAAAAGTGTCACGGCCACACTGTTACTGACAAATAGCTTCCTTTCTCATTTCCACTGTGTAATTATAAGATAACTCCACTGGGATATAAATATTGGTCTTACAGTTCAGTGGATAGTACATAGAGCTGCACAAACAAGCCACTGTGTCCGGAAATTTTAGCTCGTACTGACTTCACTCGTGCTTTTTATCTGGCCTGTTGTAAAATGAGGCAAACATCAAGATGAGCTGATGTACCACCCTGGAAGACCTGTGTGTACCACTGGGGTACACGGACCCCTGGCTGAGAACCACTGCTCTCCACAAATGCACAAGGAAATTGGCCTCAAGACACATTGGCATCACCTGATCAGCCAGTGTCCCATGCAGGGTTGTGAAATCTCCCATCTCCAGTCACACCAGGATGTCACGGGGCAGCCCCAGCCGATCCCGCAGGGGGCAGGTATTTGCCAACCTTTCCTCAGAGAAGGACCTGGGGATTACAGTGGATGAGAAGCTGGCTATGAGTCAGCAGGGTGGCCTTGTTGCCAAGAAGGCCAACGGCATTTTGAGCTGCATCAGTAGGAGCGTTGCCAGCAGATGGAGGGAAGTGATTATTCCCCTCTATTCGGCACTGGTGAGGCCAGATCTGGAGTACTGGGTCCAGTTTTGGGCCCCCCACTACAGAAGGGATGTGGAAAAATTGGAGAGAGTCCAGCGGAGGGCAACGAAAATGTTAGGGGGCTGGAGCACGTGACTTAGGAGGGGAGGCTGAGGGAACTGGGCTTCTTTCGTCTGCAGAAGAGAAGAGTGAGGGGGAATTTGATAGCACCTTCAACTACCTGAGGGGGGTCCCAAAGGGGATGGAGCTCGGCTGTTCTCAGTGGTGGCAGATGACAGAACGAGGAGCAATGGTCTCCAGTTGCAGTGGGGGAGGTCTAGGTTGGAGGTCGAGGGGAGGGACGGCATCCACAGGACAGCAACCAGGACCCCAGGGCAGGTCACAGCGGTGAGAGCTCAGCTGCCCGGCCCTGGGGAGCAGCTGGCCGCATGCTGCATGGTGGACGTCTCTTTTTCTTCCATCGGCGGCGGTTGCTACTTCAGGCTCATGGTGGCCAGCGAGAAGCCGGGAAGGCTGGGCTGTGCAGGCCCTGGGGTCCGCCCGCCCCTTCTGCCTGCAGTCCCACCCCTGTTCTGCCCCTTCCCCCGTGGCCCTGCCCCGGTTCCACCCACAGTCCTGTCCCAGTCCACCCACCCCCTTGCAGCCACAAGTGTTACGGCCACATTGTGATTGACAAATAGCTTCCTTTCTCAGTTCCACTGTGTAATTATAAGATAACTCCACTGGGATATAAATATTGTTCTTACATTTCAGTGGATCGTACATAGAGCTGCACAAACACGTCATTGTGTCAGGAAATTTTAGCTCGTACTGATTTCACTAGTGCTTTATATCTGGCCTGTTGTAAAATGAGGCAAACATCAAGATAAGATGATGTACCCCCTGGAAGACCTGTGTGTACCCCTGGAGTACACAGACCCCTGGCTGAGAACCACCGATCTCCACTCACGCAAAAGGGAATTGGCCTCAACACACATTGCATCACCTGATCAGCCAAAGTCACGTGCAGGGTTGTGAAATCTCCCATCTCCGGGTCCACCAGGATGTCATGGGGCAGCCCCAGCCCATCCCCAAGGGAGCAGGTATTTGCCAACCTGCCGGATAAAACCATAGCCAGATGCTTCCTTGCTGTTCTGCTCACTGCAGCTAACATCCAGGCACCATGTGGGTGGCTCTGCCCCTCTGTCTGCTGTCCACTCTCCTGGCCACAGGTGAGTCCCGTCCGTCCCCAGGCACAGGGAGCCGGGTGGTGGGGTCGGGAATTCACTTGGGGAACGTGCTGCTGTTGATGGTGGATTCTGGGGTCAGGATGGAATTTGTGGGTAAAACCAGCAAGAGGAAAACCCGGAGCCACGTCCCCTGGCTGACTCGGGGAGAGCAGGGATTGGAGCCTGGGACTCCCACAACCCACGCTAGGGGCCTGGCCAGCGAGTGTGAGTCCGTCTGTCCTTCCTTCTTCTCGTTCCTCCTCCAGCTCTCGCCCGAGTTTGGGGTCATCCGGATGAGGAGCAGCACCCCCGTCCACATGTCATCCTGCCTAGAAATGTTCCCCTGCCTGTCAGCGCTGAGATTCCTGCCAGGACTCCTGGCTTCATTCCCTGGCTTTGAAAGGGGAATGGGGCTGCAACGGGTAGGGGCTGGGAGCCAGGACTTCTGGGCTCATTCCCCAGCTGTAGAAGCGGGCTGGGGTGTAGTGAGTTTGAGCAGAGATGGCTGCAAATCAGGACTCCCGGGCTCTCTCCGTGGCTCTGAAAGAGCCGTGGGATCTCGTGGGTTAGAGTGGGCTGGGAGTCAGGAGTGAGGACTTCTCAGCTGTTTTCTTGGTTCTAACCCTGAATTGAACACATCTTTTTTCTACCTCAGTTTCCATATTTCTTTGATAGGGATAATATAACTTTGCAACCATCTAGGGACATAGAAGGGGCGGGGAAGGTGTTCTGAGGTTTAATTGATGTTTCCACATGAATGCTCTAAAAAAACCAAAGTGGGAAAATCTTTCTTTCTTTCTTTCTTTCTCTCTTTCTTTCTCTCTTTCTTTCTTTCTTAAGACTACCTTATGCCCACGTAATGAATTTAAAGGCCCCCACGCTCTGGAGAGGAAAGAGTTGATGCTCCTGGGATCGCTAGCTGGAGGTGCACAGCCATCTATCCAGAGGCTTAACAAGCGTCAATCGTATTCTGAAGAAGAGAATTGGCAGGATCAGCGATGAAAAGTGGGCTGAAGTCGAGTGTGGCTGAGCTGATGTAACTCTGAGAGGCAGAGGCCTGGAGCAGAGAGTTACGGCGGGGTGTGTGTGTGTGTGTGTGAAAGGTTCACTGCAAAGCCAGGCAGAAACCCCTCTTCAGAGCAGCCGAATTCTTGTTTTTCTGTCTACACAGACGTGTGGGGTTTGTTCATAGGCACAAGCTGCACCCCAGATAGCCACGTCAGCAGCTGAAAATGTATTCTAGCCACAGACACTCAGGCAGCAAACAGACTTGTCAGTGGTTTTGAGTAAGATACAAATGACCAGCTAGCAAGATGCCTTTCCCCATCCGGAGAGTTAAATGGAACTGGGCAGAACTGCTGCAAAAGCAGGTGGCATTTCTCCAAGTTCTGCCTGCCCACACGTTCAGTGAGGAGGCATTGGTGGTAACAACTCCCACAGCGCCACCTCTTGGTTGCTGGTGGTATTTCGTCCACAGGCACTGCCTGAGGAAGGGTGTGGAGCTGGGGTTTGTACTGAGAATGGATTTTTCCAACCTCCAGGGAGCGCTCTGCAATGCGAGGTGTGTGCGTCCAGAGAGCAATCGTGCTCCGGCCCCCTGCAGCCCTGCGCCCCCTGGGAAGGGACCTGCGTCACCGTCGTGGCAGAGATCAGGCTGGGTGAGTGAAAGAAGATTTCTACTAAGTGTAGACACCATTGTCCTCCTGAAGCCACGGGTCAAACCCAGGAATCCTGGCTCCCAGCCCCTCCCCCCTACTCTAACCAATAGTCTCCGCTCCTCTCCAGGAGCAGGGACTGCTCAGTCTGGAATGATAATGTCATTGACGGGGGATGGGAGGAGATGGGGTATTGCAGTGGGTGGCTGTGGGGCCTGGATCAGACAGAAGAGAGGATTTTATCACGGGGGGTGGGGAGATGAGATTAGTTGGGGGTGGGGTGGATGGAACAAAAGGGGAGGATGGAGCGGCTGGGGGTCCATTGGGGAGTTCAGAGGTGATGCTCTATTTCTCTTCCACAGAGGGATCCTCCATGTCCTACACGGGTAAATCGTGCCTGGAGCCCAAGAACTGTGAGCCCGGCCCCTTCTCGCTGACGTACCCGCACAATGTCACCGTGCGGGCGAACATCGCCTGCTGTGACACCGACGGCTGCAACACCGGGGCCATCCCAGGTGTGTGTGTGCTGCAAACCTAGAGCCCTGCTCCGGCCACACCTGCCTGGAGAGAACCCAGGAGTCCTGGCTGCCAGCCCAAAGCCCCCATCCCTAACCACTAGACCCCACTCCCTTCCCCGAGCTGGGATTGAGCCCAATGTGTGGTGACTCCCCACCCTTGGCTGACTATGTGTGTCTGACTGTTCTCAGTGCCAACTGTGAGCTCCGTCCCCAACGGCCGGCAGTGCCCGTCGATCCTCAGAGTGGGGCCATATCACTGGAACGGGAAGGGGGTCTTGGCCTGCACCGGCACCGAGGACCATTGTGTTGTGGAATCTGGGATATTTATATTTGGTAAGTCCTCTAGATGTGGGAGGGGTCTGAACACAGAGCATGAGGTGGAGCCCAGGTGTCCTGGCTCAGTCCCAGCCCCCCTTGCTCTGACCCACTAGACTCCACTCCCCTGGCAGAGTTGCAGAGAGAACCCAGGAGTCCTACTTGCCGAGATGCCAAAGGAGCACCCAAGGAGGATAAGGCCACTGCGGAGAAACTAAATGAATTCTCTGCATCAGTCTTCACGGCTGAGGCTGGGAGGGAGATTCCCAAATCGGAGCCATTCTGTTTTGGTGACAAATCTGAGGAACTGTCCCAGATTGAGGAGTCATTACAGGAGTTTTTGCAACAAATTGATAAATTAAACAGTAATGAGTCACCAGGACCAGATGGGATTCGCCCAAGAGTTCGGAAGGAACTCAAATGTCAAATTACAGAATGACTAACTGTGGTTTGTAACCTACCATTTAAATCAGCTTCTGTTCCAACTGGCTGGAGGATGGCTGATGAGACGCCAATTTCTAAAAAGGGCTCCAGAGGTGATCCCGGCAGCTGCAGGCCAATAAGTCCGACTTCAGTACTGGGCAAACTCATTGAAACTATAGGAAAGAAGAGAACTGTCAGACACATAGATGAACATAATTTGTTGGGGAAGGGTCAACATGGTTTCGGTAAAGGGAAATCACGCCTCACCAATCCACTAGAATTGTCTGAAGGGGTCAACAAGCGTGTGGACAAGGGGGATCCCATGGATATAGTGTACTTAGATTTTCAGAAAGCGTCCCTCACCAAAGGCTCTTAAGCAAAGTGAGCTGTCATGCGATAAAATCCTCTCATGGCTCAAAAAGAAAAGGAGTACTTGTGGCACCTTAGAGACTAACCAATTTATTTGAGCCTGAGCTTTCGTGAGCTACAGGTCACTTCATCAGATGCATACCGTGGAAACTGCAGCAGACTTTATATACACACAGAGAATATGAAACAATACCTCCTCCCACCCCACTGTCCTGCTGGTAATAGCTTATCTAAAGTGATCATCAAGTTGGGCCATTTCCAGCACAAATCCAGGTTTTCTCGCCCTCCACCCCCCCCACACAAATTCACTCTCCTGCTGGTGATAGCCCATCCAAAGTGACAACTCTCCACACAATGAATGTCACGGCTAACCTGGTGGCTGAACTTTGTGACTTTGTCCTTACCCATAACTATTTTACTTTTGGGGACAATGTATACCTTCAGATCAGCGGCACTGCTGTGGGTACCCGCATGGCCCCACAGTATGCCAACTTTTTTATGGCTGACTTAGAACAACACTTCCTCAGCTCTCGTCCCCTAATGCCCCTACTCTACTTGCGCTATATTGATGACATCTTCATCATCTGGACCCATGGAAAAGAAGCCCTTGAGGAATTCCACCATGATTTCAACAATTTCCATCCCACCATCAACCTCAGCCTGGTCCAGTCCACACAAGAGATCCACTTCCTGGACACTACAGTGCTCATAAACAATGGTCACATAAACACCAGCCTATACCGGAAACCTACTGACCGCTATTCCTACCTGCATGCCTCCAGCTTTCACCCTGACCACACCACACGATCCATCGTCTACAGCCAAGCTCTGCGATACAACCGCATTTGCTCCAACCCCTCAGACAGAGACAAACACATACAAGATTTCTGTCAAGCTTTCTTACAACTACAATACCCACCTGCGGAAGTGAAGAAACAGATTGATAGAGCCAGAAGAGTTCCCAGAAGTCACCTACTACAGGACAGGCCTAACAAAGAAAATAACAGAACGCCTGCACATCCATCTGCACATCCACCAATGTGATCTATGCCATCATGTGCCAGCAATGCCTCTCTGCCATTTACATTGGTCAAACTGGACAGTCTCTACGCAAAAGAATAAATGGACACAAATCAGATGTCAAGAATTATAACATTCAAAAACCAGTCGGAGAACACTTCAATCTCTCTGGTCACGCAATCACAGACATGAAGGTCACTATCTTAAAACAAAAAAACTTCAAATCCAGACTCCAGCGAGAAACTGCTGAATTGGAATTCATTTGCAAATTGGATACTATTAATTTAGACTTAAATAGAGACTGGGAGTGGCTAAGTCATTATGCAAGGTAGCCTATTTCCCCTTGTTTTTTCCTCCCCCCCCCCCCTCCCCCCGGGAGGTTCTGGTTTAACTTGGATTTAAACTTTGAGAGTGGTCAGTTTGGATGAGCTATTGCCAGCAGGAGAGTGAGTTTGTGTGTGTATGGAGGTGGGGGGGGTGTGAGAAGGCCTGGATTTGTGCTGGGGGTGGCCCACCTTGATTATCATGCGCATTGTGGGGAGAGTGGTCACTTTGGATTAGCTATTGCCAGCGGGATAGTGAGTTTGTGTGTGTGGTTTTTGGGAGGGGGTGGGGGGGTGAGAGAACCTGGATTTGTGCAGGAAATGGCCCAATTTGATTGTCATGCACATTGTGTGGAGAGTTGTCACTTTGGATGGGCTATCACCAGCAGGAGAGTGAATTTGTGTGGGGGGGTGGAGGGCGAGAAAACCTGGATTTGTGCTGGAAATGGCCCAACTTGATGATCACTTTAGATAAGCTATTACCAGCAGGACAGTGGGGTGGGAGGAGGTATTGTTTCATGATCTCTGTGTGTATATAAAGTCTGCTGCAGTTTCCACGGTATGCATCAGATGAAGTGAGCTGTAGCTCACGAAAGCTCATGCTCAAATAAATTGGTTAGTCTCTAAGGTGCCACAAGTACTCCTTTTCTTTTTGCGAATACAGACTAACACAGCTGTTACTCTGAAACCTGTCTCATGGCTCAGTAACTGGTTAAAAGATAGGGAAAAAAGGGTAGGAAGAAATGGTCAGTTTTCAGAAGGGAGAGAGGTAAATAGTGGGAGTCCCCCAGGGATCTGCACTGGGCCCAGTGCTATTCACCAAATTCCGAAATGTTCTGGAAAAAAGGGTAAATAGTGAGGTGGCAAAATTTGCAGAAGATACAAACCTACTCAAGATAGTGAAGTCCAAAGCAGACTGTGAAGAGGTACTAAAGGGTCTCTCAGAACTGGATGACTGGGCAACAAAATGGCAGAGGAAATTCAGTGTTGATAAATGCAAAGTAATGCACATGGGCAAACGTAATCCCAAGTAGACATACACAATAATGGGTCGAATTTACCATTCAAGAAAGATCTTGGAGTCACTGTGGAGAGTTCTCTGAAATCATCCACTCCATGTGCAGCGGCCGTCAAAAAAAGCAAACAGAATGCTGGGAATCATTCATAAAGGGACAGAGAATAGGACAGAGATCTAACCCCAAGATCGTGTTGCCTCAATATAAATCCATGGGACGCCCACAGCTTGAACACTGCGGACGGATGTGGTCGCCCTGTCTCAAAAAAGATATATTGGAATTGGAAAGGCTTCAGAAAATGCCAACCAAAATGATGAGGGGGATGGAATGGCTGCCATATGAGGAGAGATTAATAAGAGTGGGACTCTTCCGCTTGGAAATGAAACGGCTAAGGGGGGATATGATCGAGGTCTAAAAAAGGTTGAAGCGTGTGGAGGAAGTAAAGAAGGAAGTGTTATTTACTCCTCCTAACATAAGAACGAGGGGTCACCACAGGCAGCAGGTATAAAACAAACCAAAGGAAGTACTGCTTCACACAACGCACAAGAAACCTGTGGAACTCATTGCCGGGGGAAGTTGTGAAGGTGCAGACTATAACAGGGTTCAAACAGGAACTAGAGAAGTTCCTGGAGGACAGGTCCATCTGTGGCTATTAGCCAGGATGGGCAGGGAAGGTGGCCCTAGCCTCTGTTTGCCAGAAGCTGGGAATGGGCGACAGGGTATGGATCAATGGATGATTCCCTGTTCTGTTCACTCCCTCTGGGGCACCTGGCATTGGCCAGAGGATACTGGGCTAGATGGACCTTTGGGGTGACCCAGGAGGGCCATTCCTCTTCTGTTCTCATGTTGTTCCAGCCCCCTGCTCTGAGCACTAGACCCCAGTCTGCCTGCAGAGCCGGGTGCAGTCCTGCTGGGAGGGGAGTGTGTGAGAGACCTCATGAGGGTCGCGGGGGGGGGGGAATTGGGAACCCCCGATCACGTCTCTCCCCCTGTCCAGGTCACATCAAAATGAGGAATACTGCGGCTGGATGTGGCTCCCCTGGCGCCTGCGTGAAGAGAGCGTTGGTGAAGAAATACACCCAGGGCGTGCCGGAGATCCTGAGCCAGGCCAAGTGCTTCCCAGCTCCCAGGGCCGGTGGAGGCATCGGGGAGCCCTGAGCCCCGGCCTGGCATCCTCCCCTTCTGCTGCGTGCCGGGCTGCAGTGCACCTCCCTTCAGCAGCAACTGGCTTCTGCTTCTCTTTGGGGGAGATTGCGGATTCCTTTTGTGCATTGGCTGAATAAAGCGAGTTGTGGGGAAAGTACCCCCCAAGCTCCTTGTCCCCTGACCGTCCTGTACCGGCTCCCCCCCCCAACCCCTGTCTGTGCACAAGTGATGCTGGCAGGAAGAGAACCCAGGAGTCCTGACTCCCAGTACCCCACCCTGTAACCCACCAGACCATACTCCCTTCTGAAAGCCAGGGATAGAGCCCAGGAGTCCTGGCTCCCAAGCCCCCTGCTCTAACCACTGGACCCCTCTCCCCTTGCAGGGCCAGGGAATGGAACCCAGGTGTCCTGCCTAGACCCCCTCCCCCAAAGCAAGGTCCGTGGCCTGTGGAAAGGCACCAGCTGGCTGAGTTCCCCTGGAGAAGGAGGGCTGTGGGAAGGAGAGGCCGTGGCTCACCCAGCTGTCCAGGCGGGCGGGAACGCCCTGGAGGGGAGAAATGTCCTTCTAGGTTGATTTTGCAGGGCTCAGTTCGTCCCGCTCTCTGGGGCGGCTCCACTGGGAGTGCCGGGCTCAGGGAAGGTGTCAGGAAACAGGGCAGATCCCCCCAGCCGGTGGTGCTCTGTGAGCAGATTTCACCCAGCGTGAACTCCTGGATCGCTGCCCCCGTCTGACCCCGGAGTCACAGCCAGTCCCCTCAGATACTCTCAGACAAGCCGGACTTTGTGAGGAAACCTCACGTACACCCCAAACCAGCCCACCCAGGTTGTCCCCTGCCCCAGGAGACCGGTCACTTACCCCAGAGCCACGGGACCCCAGATCCTCCACCAAAGGCAACGCTGGCAGCCAGGTCTGTAGGAAACTCGCTAAAGGTTCGTGAGCTAAGGAAAGGGAATGAGGGTCACGAGGGGTTAAAGGTGGTAAAATCATGCCCAGATGAGTCGCAGTCTGTAATTCCAAACGGTGGCGGTGATGGGAGAAACTGCCATTCTCCCAAGTCTTTTCAGGTGCCCCCAGACCGTCTCCAGGGATCCCCGCTTTGCATCTGGTTCTGGTCCCTGTAAGAGTCCAGCCAGCCCAGCGTGGCAGGATCCTTCCCTGAATCCATCCTTACAGCTTCTTCTTCCAGAGAACAAGCTGGCAGGGCCCCCACCCACGTGGGCTTTGCCTTCGATGCGGGGAGGGAGGAACGCGGCGGTCAGCACACGCGATGGCCCCTGCCTTTGGGGTCAGCACTTTTCTGGTGCTAAAGTTCCTCCTTAGCATCCCTCCGGCGTCTCTGCTGGGTCAGTGAGTCCCAGGGCTGTGCTCAGGGTGAATGGTTGTTACTCCGTTAAAACAGCAGACGGGGAAGGGAAAACCATACCACGGCCCATTGGTTTTCATGAAATTGAAACTCCAAACACACTGTTCTACCTTCGCCATGCCTTTGATCTAGGCCAGGGGCTCTCGACCTTTCCAGACCGCTGTACCCCTTGTGGCAGTCTGATGTGTCTTGCATAGCCCAAGTTTCCCCTCACTTAAAACTACTTGCTTCCAAAACCAGACATGGAGTCTAAATTAGCTGTTCCCAGTCAAGAAAGAGATCTTGGAGTCACAGTGGATAGTTCACAGTACGCAGTGCATGTCAAAAAAGAGAACAGAATGTTGGGAATCATTAAGAAAGGGAGAGATAATGAGACAGTAAATGTCATATTGCCCCTATATAAATCCATGCTACTCCCATTCTTGAAAACTGTGTGGAGATGTGGTCACCCCAGCGTATAAAAGAGATATCGGAATTGGAAAATCATAGAATCATAGAATATCAGGATTGGAAGGGACCCCAGAAGGTCATCTAGTCCAACCCCCTGCTTGAAGCAGGACCAATTCCCAGTTAAATCATCCCAGCCAGGGCTTTGTCAAGCCTGACCTTAAAAACCTCTAAGGAACGAGATTCTACCACCTCCCTAGGTAACGCATTCCAGTGTTTCACCACCCTCTTAGTGAAAAAGTTTTTCCTAATATCCAATCTAAACCTCCCCCACTGCAACTTGAGACCATTACTCCTCGTTCTGTCATCTGCTACCATAGAGAACAGTCTAGAGCCATCCTCTTTGGAACCCCCTTTCAGGTAGTTGAAAGCAGCTATCAAATCCCCCCTCATTCTTCTCTTCTGCAGGCTAAACAATCCCAGCTCCCTCAGCCTCTCCTCATAACTCATGTGTTCCAGACCCCTAATCATTTTTGTTGGCCTTCACTGGACTCTCTCCAATTTATCCACATCCTTCTTGTTGTGTGGGGCCCAAAACTGGACACAGTACTCCAGATGAGGCCTCACCAATGTCGAATAGAGGGGAATGATCACGTCCCTCGATCTGCTCACTATGCCCCTACTTATACATCCCAAAATGCCATTGGCCTTCTTGGGAACAAGGGCACACTGCTGACTCATATCCAGCTTCTCATCCACTGTCACCCCTAGGTCCTTTTCCGCAGAACTGCTGCCTAGCCATTCGGTCCGTAGTCTGTAGCTGTGCATTGGATTCTTCCATCCTAAGTGCAGGACCCTGCACTTATCCTTATTGAACCTCATCAGATTTCTTTTGGCCCAATCCTCCAATTTGTCTAGGTCCCTCTGTATCCTATCCCTCCCCTCCAGCGTATCTACCACTCCTCCCAGTTTAGTATCATCCGCAAATTTGCTGAGAGTGCAATCCACACCATCCTCCAGATCATTTATGAAGATATTGAACAAAACCGGCCCCAGGACCGACCCCTGGGGCACTCCACTTGATACCGGCTGCCAACTAGACATGGAGCCATTGATCACTACCCGTTGAGCCCGACAATCTAGCCAGCTTTCTACCCACCTTATAGTGCATTCATCCAGCCCATACTTCCTTCACTTGCTGACAAGAATACTGTGGGAGACCGTGTCAAAAGCTTTGCTAAAGTCAAGAAACAATACATCCACTGTATTCAGAAAAGATTCAGAAAAGGGTCATAAAATTATTAGGGGGATGGAACAGCTTCCGTGAGGAGAGATTCATAAGAGTGGGACTTTTCAGCTTGGAAAAGAGACGGACAAGGGGGGATAGGGGAGAGGTCTAGAAAATCATGAGTGGTGTGGAGAAAGTAGATAAGGAAGTGTTATTTACTCCTTCTCATAACACAAGAACTAGGGGGCCACCAAATGAAATTAAGAGGCAGTAGGTTTAAAAAAAAAGGGAAGTGTTTTTTCACATAATGCACCATCAACCTGTGGAACTCCTTGCCAGAGGAATGTGCAAAGTCCAAAAGTAAGCTGGGTTCAAAAAAGAGCTAGATAAATTCATGGAGGATAGGGCCATCAATGGCTATTAGCCAGGCTGGGTAGGGATGGTGTCCTTAGCCTCTGTTTGCCAGAAGCTGTGAATGGAGGACAGGGGATGGAACACTTGATGTTTGATTACCTGTTCTGTTCATTCCCTCTGGGCACCTGGCATTGGCCACTGTCGGAAGACAGGATACTAGGTTAGATGGACCTTTGGTCTGACCCAGTGTGGCCCTGTCAGGGTTCCTTCCCCACTCTGAACTCTAGGGTACAGATGTGGGGACCCGCAGGAAAGACCCCCTCAGCTTATTCTTACCAGCTTAGGTTAAAAACTTCCCCAAGGTACAAACTTTGCCTTGTCCTTGAACCGTACGCTGCCACCACCAAGTGTCTTACACAAAGACCAGGGAAAGAGCCCACTTGGAGACGTCTTCCCCCAAAATATCACCCCAAGTCCTACACCCCCTTTCCTGGGGAAGGCTTGATAAGAATCCTCCCCAATTTGTACAAGTGAACACAGACCCAAACCCTTGGATCTTCAGAACAATGAAAAAGCAAACAGGTTCTTAAAAGAAGAATTTGAATGAAAGAAAAGGTGAAAGAATCACCCCTGTAAAATCAGGATGGTAAATACCTTCCAGGGTAATCAAATTCAAAACATAGAGAATCCTCTAGGCAAAACCTTAAGTTACAAAAAGACACCAAACCAGGAATATTCATTCCCTCCAGCACAGCTTATTTTACCAGCCATTAAACAAAAGGAAATCTAACACATTTCTAGCTAGATTACTTACTAACTAACAGAAGTTCTGAGACTCCATTCCTGAGCTGTTCCAGCAAAAGATCACACAGACAAGCAGTCCCTTTGTTTCCCTCACTCCCGATTTGAAAGTATCTTGTCTCCTCATTGGTCATTTTGGGTCAGGTGCCAGCAAGGTTACCTTAGCTTCTTAACCCTTTACAGGTGAAAGTGTTTTGCCTCTGGCCACGAGGGATTTTACAGCAGCGGGGACAGAAAGGTGGTTCCCTTTCCCTTTATATTTATGACAGGTCCTTTCTTACGTTATTATAAAAATACATAAGTGTCACGGCCACATCGTGACTGACAAATAGCTTCCTTTCTCAGTTCCACCATGTAATTATAAAATAACTCCACTGGGATATAAATATTGCACTTACATTTCAGTGGACAGTACATAGAGCTGCACAAACAAGTCATTGTGTCCGGAAATTTTAGCTCGTGTTGACTTCACTAGTGCTTTATATCTGGCCTGTTGTAAAATGAGGCAAACATCAAGATGAGCTGATGTTCCCCCTGGAAGACCTGTGTGTACCCCTGGGGTACACGGACCAGTGGCTGAGAACCACTGATCTCCATGAATGCACAAGGAAATTGGCCTCAAGACACATTGGCATCACCTGATCAGCCAGTGTCACATGCAGGGCTGTGAAATCTCCCATCTCCGGGTCCACCAGAATGTCATGGGGCAGCCCCAGCCGATCCCGCAGGGGGCAGGTTTTTGCCAACCCTTCTGCAGAGAAGGACCTGGGGATTACAGTGGATGAGAAGCTGGCTATGAGACAGCAGGGTGGCCTTGTTGCCAAGAAGGCCAACGGCATATTGGGCTGTATCAGTAGGAGCGTTGCCAGCAGATGGAGGGAAGTGATTATTCCCCTCTATTCGGCATTGGTGAGGCCACATCTGGAGTACTGGGTCCAGTTTTGGGCCCCCCACTACAGAAGGGATGTGGAAAAATTGGAGAGAGTCCAGCAGAGGACAACGAAAATGATTAGGGGGCTGGAGCACGTGACTTAGGAGGGGAGGCTGAGGGAACTGGGCTTCTTTCGTCTGCAGAAGAGAAGAGTGAGGAGGAATTTGAGAGCAGCCTTCAACTACCTGAGGGGGATTCCAAAGAGTGTGGAGCTCGGCTGTTCTCAGTGGTGGCAGATGACAGAACGAGGAGCAATGGTCTCCAGTTGCAGTGGGGGAGGTCTAGGCTGGAAATCAGGAAACACTATTTCAATAGGAGGGTGGTGAAGCGCTGCATTGGGTTCCCTAGGGAGGGGGTGGAATCTCCATCCTTTGAGGTGTTTAAGGCCTACTTGACACAGGCCTGGCCGGGATGAATTAGTTGGGGTTGGTCCTGCTTTGAGCAGGAGTTGGACTAGATGACCTCCTGAGCTCTCTTCCAACCCCGATCTTCTATGGTTCTCCGATTCTCTGAACCTGCCTGCCGTACCCACAGCCAGCAGCTTCATTGCTGCTCTGGTCACTGCAGAAAATGTCCGGCCACCATGTGGGCGCCCCAGCCCCTCTTCCTGCTGTCTGCTCACCTGGTCACAGGGGAGTCCCATCCGTCCCCAGGCACATGGAGCCGGGCACCGATGAGGAGCAGGAAACATTTGGAAATCACAGACAATTCTCAGGAGTCAGGAAAACCGTCCCCCACCCTTGTCATCCTGCTTGGAAATGTTCCCCTGCCCCCTGCGCTGAGATTCCTGCCAGGACTCCTGGGATCATTCCCAGGCTCTGGGAGGGAGTGGGGGGGTCTCTTCTGGGGTGTATGTACCCCACGCTGGCCCAGCGAGTGCAGGGAGAAAAGGGCCGAGCAGCAGAGAGGGTTTTGCAGATTCCTGGGCACAGGGACTAGCGTGAGGGCCGCGCTGAGCTGGGTGAGCCGGGACCGCGCCCTGCTTGGCCAGGAGGGGACACTGTTGCACCATCGCACTGACTCACATAGTCTCATTTCTGGGAGCCAGGACTCCTGGGTTCTATCCCCAGGTCAGGGACGGGGTGGGTCTAGAATAGGCTGGAAGCCAGCAGCAATTAGGACTCCTTGGTTAAAAGAACAGGAGTACTTGTGGCACCTTAGAGACTAACAAATTCATATAAATTGGTTAGTCTCTAAGGTGCCACAAGTACTCCCGTCCTTTTTGGGGATACAGACTAACACGGCTGCTACTCTGAAATCTAACTCCTTGGCTGTATTCGTGGCTCCGAGTCTGACACTGCCTCTTTCTGCCTCAGTTTCCCTGTTTATAAGATGGGGGTAATGTTTGTGATGAAGTGGGACTGTTCTTGATGTTTCCTCCGAGTGGTGTGGGGGTGCCTCGGTTTCCCCTGGGCAGTTCTTGGGTGTCTAGGTGGTGGGGTGAGGGTGTATGATCATTGCAGAGCCCTAGAGGGCAGGTGTTTGCAGGAGTCTGGACACAGAGAACGGCTGACACCCTGTTTCCTGGCAACTGATGGCCTGGGCCCTTCCCCCCTGCAAGGTGAGAGCTAAAGGGTTGGAGAACAAAGGAATCAGGTGACCTCCTGGCCTGGGAAAGAGACAAAGCCCAGAGGAGGAGGGGCGGGAGGGAGTTTCAGTTTGGGGCTGGCTGGGACATGGAGTGAAGTGCAGACGTGGTTGCAAAATGGACCCAGCTGAGGGGTCCTGTTCTCTGCACCTGCAAGCTCTGTGTTAGACCATGTTCCTGTCGTCTAATAAACCTCTGTTTTACTGGCTGGCTGAGAGTCACGTCTGACTGCGGAGTTGGGGGGCAGGACCCTCTGGGTTCCCCAGGAGCCCTGCCTGAGCGGACTCGCTGTGGGAAGCGCAGGGAGGGGCAGAGGATGCTGAATGCTCTGAGGTCAGACCCAGGAAGGTGGAATCCGTGTGAGCTGTGTGTCCTGCAGACAGGCTGCTCCCAGAGAGGAGACTTCCCCAGAGTCCTGACTGGCTTCATGGGGAGCAGTTCCAGAGCATCGCCCAGGGACTCCGTGACAATGTTCCCTTCCTCCCACCTGGGACCCTGGCAAAGGCAGGGGAAGGCATTTGGAGGTTGAAGTGATGTTTCCAGAGGAAAGCTCCGGAAAAAAACAAAGTGAACCAATTGGTTTTCTTTCTTTCGTCCTTCAATTAAAAACTTATGTTCACTGACTGAATTGAAACTCTCCCAAGCTCTGGACAGGAAAGAGTTAACGATCATGGGATCTCTTCAGCCAGCCCAGAGTTTTTGCATGCATGATGGAGGTGTGAAGCCATCAGTGGCGAGGGTGAACGATCACCAGTCAAATTCGGAAGAAGAGAGTTGACAGGACAGGATGGTCCCCGGCTTTGGAGTCGACACTTTTCTGGTGCTTGCATTTCAGTGTAGAGAATATAGAGCAATATGAACAAGGGGTCGACAGTTTAGCTCGTACTGACTTCACTCGTGCCTTAATGTGGCCTGTTGTAAATCGAGGCAAATATCAGGATGAGCTGATGTATCCCCGGAAGACCTGTGTGTACCCCTGGGGTACACGGACCCCTGGCTGAGAACCGCTGATCTCCACTAACGCACAAGGGAATTGGCTTCAGTACACACTGGCATCACCTGGTCAGCCAGTGTCACATGCAGGGCTGTGAAATCTCCCATCTCCGGGTCCACCAGGATGTCATGGGGCAGCCCCAGCCGATCCCCCAGGGGGCAGGTACTTGGCAACCTGCCGGACAAAACCACAGCCAGATGCTTCCTCGCTGTTCTGCTCACTGAAGCAAACACCCGGGCACAATGTCACCGTGTGGGCGAACATCGCCTGCTGTGTCACCGACGGCTGCAAGGCCGGGGCCATCCCAGGCGTGTGTCTGCTGCAAACCTAGAGCCCTGCTCCGGCCACACCTGCCTGGAGAGAACCCAGGAGTCCTGGCTCCCAGCCCCCCTGCTCTAACCACTAGACCCCACTCCCTTCCCCGAGCTGGGATCGAGCCCAGCGTGTGGTGACTCCCCACCCCTGGCTGACTGTGTGTGTCTGACTGTTCTCAGTGCCAACTGTGAGCTCCGTCCCCAACGGCCGGCAGTGCCTGTCGATCTTCAAAATGGGGGCAGATGGCTGGCAGGAGAAGGAGAAGGAGCTCTTGGCCTGCACCGGCACCGAGGACCATTGTGTTGAGGAATCTGGGATATTAACACTGGGTAAGTCCTCCAGATGGGGGCGGCGTCTGAACACAGAGCACGAGGTGGAGCCCAGGTGTCCTGGCTCAGTCCCAGCCCCCCTTGCTCTGACCCACTAGACTCCACTCCCCTGGCAGAGTTGCAGAGAGAACCCTGGAGTCCTACTTGCTGAGATGCCAAAGGAGCACCCAAGGAGGATAAGGCCACTGCAGAGAAAGTAAATGAATTCTGTGCATCGGTCTTCACGGCTGAGGCTGGGAGGGAGATTCTCAAACCTGAGCCATTCTGTTTTGGTGACAAATCTGAGGAACTGTCCCAGATTGAGGAGTCATTACAGGAGTTTTTGCAACAAATTGATAAATTAAACAGTAATAAGTCACCAGGTCCAGATGGGATTCGCCCAAGAGTTCGGAAGGAACTCAAATGTTAAATTACAGAACGACTAACTGTGGTTTGTAACCTACTATTTAAATCAGCTTCTGTTCCAACTGGCTGGAGGATGGCTGATGACACGCCAATTTCTAAAAAGGGCTCCAGAGGTGATCCCGGCAGCTGCAGGCCAATAAGTCTGACTTCAGTACAGGGCAAATTCATTGAAACTATAGGAAAGAAGAGAACTGACAGCCACATAGATGAACATAATTTGTTGGGGAAGGGTGAACATGGTTTCGGTAAAGGGAAATCACGCCTCACCAATCTACTAGAATTCTCTGAGGGGGTCAACAAGCGTGTGGACAAGGGGAATCCCATGGATACAGTGTACTTAGATTTTCAGAAAGCGTCCCTCACCAAAGGCTCTTAAGCAAAGTGAGCTGTCATGCGATAAAATCCTCTCATGGCTTAGTAACTGGTTAAAAGATAGGGAAAAAAGGGTAGGAAGAAATGGTCAGTTTTCAGAAGGGAGAGAGGTAAATAGTGGGAGTCCCCCAGGGATCTGCACTCGGCCCAATCCTATTCACCATATTCCGAAATGTCCTGGAAAAAGGGGTAAATAGTGAGGTGGCAAAATTTGCAGAAGATACAAAGCTACTCAAGATAGTGAAGTCCAAAGCAGACTGTGAAGAGGTACTGAAGGATCTCTGAACTGGGTGACTGGGCAACAAAATGGGAGAGGAAATTCAGTGTTGATAAATGCAAAGTAACGCACATGGGCAAACGTAATCCCAACTAGACATACACAATGATGGGTCGCATTTACCACTCAAGAAAGATCTTGGAGTCATTGTGGAGAGTTCTCTGAAATCATCCACTCCATGTGCAGCGGCCTTGAAGAAAGGGAACAGAAAGCTGGGAATCATTAAGAAACGGACAGAGAATAAGACAGTCAACCTGTGGAACTCCTTGCCAGAGGATGTTTTGAAGGCCAAGACTATAACAGGGTTCAAACAGGAACTAGAGAAGTTCCAGGAAGACAGGTCCATCTGTGGCTATTAGCGAGGATGGGCAGGGAAGGTGGCCCTACCCTCTGTTTGCCAGGAGCTGGGAATGGGTGACAGGGGATGGATCATTGGATGATTCCCTGTTCTGTGCATTCCCTCTGGGGTACCTGGGATTGGCCAGAGGATACTGGGCTAGATGGACCTTTGGTATGACCCAGGAGGGCAGTTCCTCTGTTATGTTCTCACATAGTTCCAGCCCCCTGCTCTGAGCACTGGACCCCACTCTGCCTGCAGAGCCGGGTGCAGTCCTGCTGGGAGGGGAGTGTGTGAGAAACCACATGGGGGTCGGGGGAAGGGGGATGTGGGAGCCCCTGATTACATCTCTCTCCCCCCGTCCAGGTGGCATCACCGCGATGAAAGCTGTGGCTGGATGTGGCTCCCCTGGCGCTTGCATGAAGAGAGTGGGGGAGCGGAAATACGTCCAGGGCGTGGTGGAGTGGCAGATCCAGAGCGAGTGCTACCCAGCTCCCAGGGCTGGCGGGGGCATCGGGGAGCCCCGAGCCCTGGCCTGGTGTCCTCCCCTTCTCCTGAGTGCCGGGCTGCAGTGCACCTCCCTTCAGCAGCCACCGGCTGCTCCCTCTCTTTGGGGGGATTGTGGCTTCCTTTTGTGCATTGGCTGAGTAAAGGGAGTTGTGCAGAAAGCACCCCCCTCGCTCCTTGTCCCCTGACCGCCCAGTCCCGCCTCTCCCCCCGTCCCTATCTGTGCACAAGTGATGTTGACAGGAAGAGAACCTGGGAGTCCTGACTCCCAGTACCCCACCCTGTAACCCACCAGACCCCACTCCCTTCTGAAAGCCAGGGATAGAGCCCAGGAGTCCTGGCTCCCAAGACCCCTGCTCTAACCACTGGACCCCTCTCCCCTTGCAGGGCCAGGGAATGGAACCCAGGAGTCCTGTCTAGGCCCCCTCCCGCAAGGCAAGGCCGGGGGAAAGGCATGGGCTGGCTGAGCTCCCCTGGGGAAGGAGACACCGTGGCTCACCCAGCTGTCCAGGCGGGCGGGAACACCCTGGAGGGGAGAAATGTCCTTCTAGGTTGATTTTGCAGGGCTCAGTTCGTCCCGCTCTCTGGGGCGGCTCCACTGGGAGTGCCGAGCTCAGGGAAGGTGTCAGGAAACAGGGCAGATCCCCCCAACCGGTGGTGCTCTGTGAGCAGATTTCACCCAGCGTGAACTCCTGGATCGCTGCCCCCGTCTGACCCCGGAGTCACTGCCAGTCCCCTCAGATACTCTCAGACAAGCCAGACTTTGTGAGGAAAGGTCACGTACACCCCAAACCAGCCCACCCAGGTTGTCCCCTGCCCCAGGAGACCGGTCACTTACCCCAGAGCCACGGGACTCCAGATCCTACAGCAAAGGCAACGCTGGCAGCCAGGTTTGTAGGAAAGTCGCTAAAGGGTCGTGAGCTAAGGAAAGGGAATTAGGGTCACGAGCAGTTAAAGTGGTAAAATTCATGCCCAGGTGAGTCGCATTCTGTAATTCCAAACGGTGGCTGTGATGGGAGAAACTGCCATTTTTCCAAGTCTTTTCAAGTGCCCCCAGACGGGCCCCAGGGATCCCCGCTTTGCATCCGGTACCGGTCCGTGTAAGAGTCCAGCCAGCCCAGCGAGGCAGTGTTCCCTCAATCCATCCTTATAGCCTCTTCTCCCAGAGAACAAGGTGGCAGGGCCCCCACCCACATGGGCTTTGACTTCGATGGGGGGAGGGAGGAACGCGGTGGTCTACACACGCGATGGCCCCTGCCTTTGGGGTCAGCATTTTTCTGGTGCTAAAGTTCTTCGTTAGCATCCCTACGCCGTTCTCAAGGTTCCTTCTCCACTCCGAACTCTAGGGTACAGATGTGGGGACCTGCATGAAAACCTCCTAAGCTTACCTCCACCAGCTTAGGTTAAAACTTCCCCAAGGTACAAATTAATTTTACCCTTTGCACTTGGATTTCCACTGCCACCACCAAACTTTATCTGTGTTTACTGGGAAACGTAGTTTGGACACATCTTTCCCCCAAAATGCTCCCAACACTTGCACCCCACTTCCTGGGGAAGGTTTGGTACAAATCCTCACCAATTTGCATAGGTGACCACAGACCCAAACCCTTGGATCTTAGAACGATGAAAAAGCATTCAGTTTTCTTACAAGAAGACTTTTAATAGAAGTGAAGGAATCACCTCTGTAAAATCAGGATGGTAGATACCTTACAGAGTAATTACATTCAAAACATAGAGATTCCCTCTAGGCAAAACCTTAAGTTACAAAAAAGGCACACAGACGGGAATAGTCAGTCTACTCATCACAATTCTTTTCTCAGCCAATTAAAGAAATCATAATCTAACATATACCTAGCTAGATTACTTACTAAAGGTACGAAGACTCCATTCCTTTTCTATCCCCGGCAAAAGCAGCATACAGACAGAGCCAGACCCTTTGTTTTTCTCCCTCCTCCCAGCTTTTGAAAGTATCTTGTCTCCTCATTGGTCGTTTTGGTCAGGTGCCAGCGAGGTTACCTTTAGCTTCTTAACCCTTTACAGGTGAGAGGATTTTTCCTCTGGCCAGGAGGGATTTTAAAGGGGTTTACCCTTCCCTTTATATTTATGACACGCCCCCCAAATCTCAGCTACGGTGAAACGCTGGCTGGGATTTCTTCCTGGAGCTCTAGTGAAAACAGAGTTAATAAGACACATGCACCTCTAAATATACTACCAAGTACATAAAGACTAACAATCTTTTCCACATCTCAAGGACAATTTTAACCAGTTGATTGCTGGAAACTTTCACAGGAGAGTGCATCAGCCACTTTGTGAGAAGCTCCTGAGATGTGTTGGATGTCGAAATCAAAATCTTGGAGAGCTAAACTCCACCGAAGAAGTGTTTTGTTATTTCCCGTAGCGGTATGAAGCCACTGTAGTGCAGCATGGTCGCTTTGCAGGTGGAAACGCCATCCCCAAACGTGTGGGCGTATCTTTTCCAGGATGTAGACAATGGCGAAACATTCTTTTTCACTGACTGACCAGTTGCTTTCCCTCTCAGACAGTTTTCTGCTGAGAAACACTACAGGGTGGAATTCTTGATCAGGTCCTTTCTGCATTAAAACTTCTCCCACACCACGCTCGGACGCATCTGTGGTTACTAGGAACGGTTTGTCAAAGTCCGGGGCCCTTAGTACAGGGTCAGACATGAGTGTCGCTTTAAGCTGGTTAAAGGCCTCCTGACACTTTTTGGTCCACTGAATGGCATTTGGCTGTTTCTTTTTGGTTAGGTCTCTCAGTGGGGTGGCAATTTGGCTCTATTGCAGTTCAAATCGTCTGTAATAACAAGCCAAACCTAAGAAGGATTGAACCTGTTTCTTTGACTTTGGGACAGGCCATTTTTGGATAGCATCCACTTTGGCTTGTAGGTGGCTGATAGTTCCTTGACCCACCTGGTGTCCAAGGTAAGTCACACTGTTTAGGCCTATTTGACACTTCTTAACCTTAACAGTTAGTCCTGCCTCCCTTATGCGCTCAAGGACTTTTTGTAGATGTTCCAGGTGTTCTGCCCAGGAATCTGAAAATATGGCCACGTCGTCAAGGTAGGCGATGCATATTCTCCTCATCCCGCTAGGAGACCATCTACAAGTCTTTGGAAGGTGGCGGGTGCATTCCACAGCCCGAAAGGTAGGACATTAAATTCATACAGCCCGAGATGTGTGATGAAGGCTGACCTTTCCTTGGTGGATTCATCTAGCGGTACCTGCCAGTACCCCTTGGTTAAGTCCAAGGTAGAGATGAACTGGGCCCGCCCCAGTTTCTCTAATAGTTCATCTGTGCGTGGCATTGGATAGTTGTCTGGGCGAGTTACAGCGTTTAGCTTATGGTAGTCCACACAAAAACGTATCTTCCCATCTGGTTTGGGAACTAGAACCACTGGAGATGCCCATGCACTCTGTAACATATCCTGATCTCCCGGTCTATAGCAGTTTTAGCTTGAGGAGACACCCGGTAAGGTTGGACTTTAATTGGGTGAGCATTACCTGTGTCAATGGAGTGGTATGCCCGTTCAGTCAGTCCTGGGGTGGATGAGAATGTCGGCGCGTAGCTAGTGCACAGCTCCTTGGTCTGCTGTCACTGCATACGCCCAAGGGTCATGGAGAGGTTCACCTCTTCCACACCACCAACAGTTTTCCCTTCGTAATAGACACCTTCAGGCCACTCAGCGTCGTCTCCTCCCTGGGCTGTAAACTGACAAAGCTTTAATTCTCTGGAATAAAAGGGCTTTAAAGAATTAATATGGTACATCTTAGCTTTCAGTTGGAGGTGGGGAATGCTATGAGGTAATTAACAGCTCCCAGGAGCTCCTGGACCATGAATGGCCCTTCCCACGATGCTTCCATTTTATGGGCCTGGAGCGCCTTTAAGACCATGACCTGGTCCCCTACTTTGAAGGAACGCTCTCTGGCATGTTTATCATACCAGGCTTTTTGCTCTTTTTGAGCATCCTGTAAGTTTTCTCTAGCAAGGGCTAAGGAGGTTCGGAGGGTGTTTTGTAGGTTGGTTACAAAGTCCAGAATGTTAGTTCCTGGAGAAGGTGTAAATCCCTCCCATTGCTGCTTCACCAACTGAAATGGCCCCTTAACCTCACAGCCATATACAAGTTCAAATGGCGAAAACCCTAAACTGGGATGTGGTACAGCTCTGTAGGCAAAGAGCAACTGCTGCAACACTAGGTCCCAATCCTTGGAGTGCTCATTTACGAATTTACGTATCATGGCCCCCAAAGTCCCATTCAACTTCTCCACCATGCCGTTTGTTTGATGGTGGTAAGGAGTGGCAACCAAGTGATTTACCCCATGAGCTTCCCAGAGGTTTTCCATAGTTCCTGCCAGGAAATTAGTCCCTGCACCTGTGAGGATGTCGGAGGGCCAACCTACCCTGGCAAAAATGTCTGCTAGTGCCTGGCACACACTTTTAGCCCTGGGGTTGCTTAGAGCTCCTGCTTCCGGCCATCGGGTGGCAAAATCCATGAAAGTCAGTCTGTACTGCTTCCCTCTGGGTGTCTTTTTCGGAAAAGGACCCAGAATATCCACAGCTACTCACTGAAATGGAACTTCAATGATGGGGAGTGGTTGGAGAAGGGTTTTGACCTGGTCTTGGGGTTTTCCCACTCTTTGGCATCCTTCACAAGACCGGAAATAAGTAGAAACATCCTTGCCCATTCCCTCCCAGTGGAATGCCACCCCAAAACGGTCTTTGGTCCTGTTCACCCCAGCATGGCCACTAGGGTGATCATGGGCTAAGCTCAAGAGCTTGGCCCGGTATTTAGTTGGAACTACCAACTGTCTCTGAGGATGCCAGTCTTCCTGGTGTCCACCAGCAAGAGTTTCTTTGTATAAAAGTCCTCTTTCTATAACAAACCTGGATCGAATAGAAGAGCTGAGAGGCGGTGGGTTGCTCCGTGCTGCCGTCCAAGCTCTCTGGAGGCTTTCATCCTCTTCCTGTTCGGTCTGGAACTGTTCCCTTGATGCTGGAGACATCAGTTCCTCATTGGATTGTGGACCTATGCTTGGTCCTTCTGGAAGCAATGTAGGGGATGGGGCTGTTTCCGTTGACTGTGAACCGCTCTCCGCTGGGACACTATGTTGGGGTTCAGGCTCTGGCTGAGCCTCTTGTGTAGGGTTATGGGCTGCTGCTGGTTCAGGTTCGGTAGGGCCCTCTGGTGTTGAGGTTGCAAGTACTGGATTCAGTGCTGGCAATGGGTCTGGTGCTGGTTGTTCCTCTGGTTCCGGTTCTGGGACTGGTTCCGTCTGGGTCTCTGGGACTGGATCCACGAGTGCTGTTGCAGACATTGGCCTGGGGTCCGGGTCCATCACCTCTGACCGGGTCCTGAGAGAAGTTTCCTGAACAGAGCTAGGCCTCATGGCTTGTTTAGAGTGGCTGCGGGTGACCATTCCCACCCTCTTGGCCCGCTTCACATGATTGGCCAAGTCTTCCCCCAACAGCATGGGGATGGGATAATCATCATCGACTGCAAAAGTCCACGTTCCTGACCAGCCCTGGTACTGGACAGGCAATTTGGCTGTAGGCAAATGGAAAGAGTGGGACTTGAAGGGTTGAATCGTCACTTGGATCTCTGGGTTGATTAAATTGGGGTCCACTAAGGAAGCATGGATAGCTGACACTTGTGCTCCGGTGTCCCTCCACGCGGTGACCTTCTTCCCGCCCACACTCACAGTTTCCCTCCACTCCAAGGGTATCTGGGAAGTATCTGGGCCTGCGGATCTTTGGTGTGATTCCGGTGCAATGAACTGTAATCTGTTGGGGTTCTTGGGGCAGTTGGCCTTTACTTGCCCCAGCCCGTTACATTTAAAACATCGTCCAGCTGAGGGGTCACTGGGGTGAGGTGGGTTGCTGGAGAACGGGGTGGTGGGACGATAAGGTGTTTGGAGGGTTCTTTGGGAGGTAGGTGGGGCCTTGGGCGGCCCCCGGTAATAGGGTGTGGTCTGGGGTTGTCCCTTCTGGTCTCCGCTCCAACTGCGACCAGTTTTTTTCTTCTCTGCCACCTCTACCCATCTGTCTCCAATCTCTCCTGCCTCGATTACAGTTTTGGGCTTCCCATCGAGGATGTATCTTTCTATTTCCTCAGGAACACCCTCTAAGAATTGTTCCATTTGCATTAGGAAGGGCAAATTTACTGGAGATTCAACACTTGCTCCTGATATCCAGGCATCCCAGTGTTTCACAATGTGGTAGACATGTCAGGTAAATGACACGTCTGGTTTCCACCTTAGGGCTCTGAACCTCCGACGAGAATGCTCGGGTGTTATCCCCATTCTGACTCTCGCCTCGGATTTAAACAGTTCATGCTCATTCATGTGTTCTTTAGGCATTTCAGCCAACACCTCAGCTAATTGTCCACTGAGCTGCGGCTTCAGCTCTACCATGTATTGGTCTGTAGGGATGCTGTACCCAAGGCAGGCCCTTTTGAAGTTTTCTAAGAAGGCCTCGGTATCATCGCCTGCCTTGTAGGTGGGGAACTTTCTGGGATGGGAAGTGCTACCTGGAGAAGGGATTGCTAGGGTTTGTTGGTATATTCTGCTGAGCCTTTACCTTCTCCATCTCCAGTTCATGCTTCCTCTCTTTTTCCTTCTCCTCCTCCACATGCTGCCTCTCTTTTTCCTTCTCCTCCCTCCACATGCTTCCTTGCCTCCATTTCCCTCCTGTGGGCAGCCTCCTGTACCCTCCTTCTCCAGCCGCATGAGTTCTATCTGTCTTTCATGTTCCTTTTGTTTTTCCCTCAGCCTGAAATCTGGCTAATTCCAGCGTTTCTTGAGCCGTGGATTCTGTCATCCTAACCTCTCTGTTTTTAACTAACTTTACACCCGAGGTTTGGAAATAAACAAACAAAAAAACTTGGCTGTAAAATTTTGCTGTGCTGGAATAGGATACCTTTTCTCTGATAGTGACTGTCAGGCTACAGAAAA